ACAGAACAGATGTGGCCTTAACATTACACTCTCCTAATGGAATGGTCTTTCAAACTTCTATAAACACAATGAAGGGGAAACAAACCAAATGGCTTTTGGTGTAATAGTAGTACATCCCTTTCTGGACACAGCTCCAAACTTTATATTAAAGTCTTCAGTCCTGGTAATTGTAGAGAAAAGGAAAATGCAGAATAAAAGAATTCTCATCAATCTTGTTTGAGTATTTCCATGTACTGTAGTCTTTCAACACATGACAGTAATTAGTGGTATATTAAAATGATAAATATAAACAGGATGCTTAAGAAAAAAGAACAAGGTGACTGTTGTCCACAGCCTGTTTTGGCTTATAAATTTTTTTCTAAAATTTGATTTTTTGTCTACCTTTTGTAAAAAGTTTTTTCCCCAGTAATGAAGGTCACACATATCTTACTGAATTATATATAGTATGTATGACTTAGAACATACAAGTCTTTGTAATTGTTCCTGCCTTCCCCAAAATCACTGTTACCAGTATGATGTATATACTCCCATGATTTTTCCTGGAGTACAATTAAATGAACAAGGATGGAATCATATTAAAAGTCCTCAACTTTTTTTTTTTTATCCTCACCCGAGGACATTTTTCCATTTTTTGTTCAGATAGAGCGGGAGGGAGAGAGAGGAAGAGAGAGAGAGAGAAACATTGACGTGAAAGGGACACATCGAGTGGCTGCCACCCGCACGACCAACCAGGGCCGGGGACAAACTGCAACCGAGGTACGTGCCCTTAGCGGGAACTGAACCCAGGTCTCTCTGTACCGCAGGCTGACGCTCCAACCGCTGAGCCAAACCGGCCAGGGCTCAACTTTTTTTTTTATAATGTATTTTTCCACAACAGGACAGATAGAGCCCCTTATTCTTTTTTAATGACTGTATATTTCATTTTATGGATGTACCATGACTTATTCTTCCAATTCTCTATTAAAAACCACTAAATTGTCCTGGCCAGTTTGGCTCAGCGGTTAGAGCGTCAGCCTGCGGTCCACAGAGACCCGGGTTCGGTTCCCGCTAAGGGCATGTACCTTGGCTGCAGTTTGTCCCCGGCCCTGGTTGGGTCGTGTGGGTGGCGGCCACTCGATGTGTCCCTTTCACATCGATGTTTCTCTCTCTCTCCTTCCCGCTCTATCTGAGTAAAAGATGGAAAAATGTCCTCGGGTGAGGATAAAAAAAAAACAAAAAAACACTAAATTATTTCCAGGTGTATGTGTGTGTGCACGTGTGTTAGAATTCAACAATGCTTGAACTGAAGTTGCTGGATCAAAGAGAATGAGCATTTAAAAATGTAACACAATTTGCCCTGACAGTTTGGCTAAGCGGTTAGAGCGCTGGCCCACGGACCAGTGAGTCTCAGGTTTGATTCCGGCCACGGGCATGTACCTCAGTTGCGGTTTGTCCCCAGCCCTGGTTGGGGTCTTGTGGGAGGCAACTTGTCAATGTGTCCCTCTCACGTTGATGTTTTTCTCTCTCTCCCTCCCTCCCTCCCACTATATCTGAAGATAAATAGAAAAAAAAAATCCTCTGGTGAGGATTAAAAAAATAAAAATGAATAAATAAAAATGTGGCACAATTTAAAAAGTACCAAAGAAAAACCTCAGAACAAATAAAAATAAGTCTTATAATTATTACTAACTTGCCTTCCTTAAAATGTCATACCTTGTGCCCTGTCCGGCTTGGCTCAGTTGGGCATCATCCTGTGCACCAAAGGGTTGTGGGTTCAATTCCCAGTCAGGGCACATCCCTGGGTTTTGGCTCCATCCCTGCTGGGGGATGTTCAGGAGGCAGCTGAGGGATGTTTCTCTTTCTCTAAAAATTAGTTTTTAAAAAATCTTTAAAAGATAAAGAAAGCAGGGATGAATAAATATGAGCATGGGTCCGGCCAGTGTGTCTCAGTGGTTGAGCATCGACCCATGCACCATGAGGTCGCCAGTTTGATTCCTGGTCAGGACACATGCTCAGGTTGTGGGCCTGATCTGTAGCGGGGTGCGTGCAGAAAGCGGCCAATCGATGTTCTCTCTCACTGATGTTTCTATCGCTCTCTCCCTCGCACTTCTTCTCTCTCTAAAAAATCAATAAAGGAAAAGAAATTAAAAAAAAATTTTTTTTTAATCCTCATCCAAGGACATTTTTCCATTTTTTGTTCAGATAGAGTGGGAGGGAGAGGAAGAGAGAGAGAGAAACATCTATGTGAAAGGGACACATCGAGTGGCTGCTTCCCGCACGACCCAACCAGATCCGGGGACAAACTGCAACCGAGGTACATGCCCTTAGTGGGAGCCGAACCCGGGTCTCTCCAGACTGCAGGCCAATGCTCCAACCACTGAACCACACCGGTCAGGGCAAAATTTTTTTTTTTTAGATAAACATATAAGCATGGGCCTGGCTGGTGTGGCTCAGCAGATTGAGAGTTGTCTCATGGACTGAGAGGTCCCTGTTCGATTCCTGGTCAGGGCACATGCCAGGGTTTCAGGCTGGATCCCCAGTGGGGGGCGTACAAAGCTGGTCGATGTTTCTCTCTCACATCAATGTTTCTATCTCTCTCCCTTCCTCTCTCTCTTAAAAAAAATTAATAAAAACATACTTAAAAAGTAAAAAAAAAATATGAGCGTGAGTATAATGTTGAGCCAAATATCTTGAAAAAAAAAAAAGTCCTACCTTGTAACAACCTTCTTTTAACATCAGCATTGCATGTTGATTAAAGCTGTACTTTTAAATCCATTATGTTATACTTATTGTATAATTTATTCTACATCTTTTGGAAACTGTTCTTTCAAGTGCATTAAAAAACAGAACAAAACACATTACAGAGCACCAACCAGAAATGTTCTAGAAGCCAGGTTTTTGGCTCTTGTCTGTGCTCCCCCTGCTGGCACTAATGGAACCGGCACCACAGAGAGTTGGTTTTTATCACAAAGGTTTTACAATTAAAAAAAAAAAAAAGAACACGTTAGAAACAAACCTTTATTGTTTATGGGTCACTGTGGCTTTCTTTCTGACATTTTTCAAGGGTCTTTAACAGAAGTTCCAACTCAGACACCCAGAATCTGATTGTAGAGAAGAATTTAAATTATAAAACAATGCCCTGGCCGGTTTGACTCAACGGTTAGAGTGTTGGATCATAGACCAATGAGTTGCGGGTTCGATTCCGGCCAAGGGCATGTACCTCAGTTGCAGTTTGTCCCCGCCCTGGTTGGGTCCTGTGGGAGGCAGCCACTCGATGTGTCACTTTCACGTGGATGTTTCTTTCTCTCTCCCTTCCTCTCCCTCCCTCCCACTCTATCTGTACAAAAAATGGAACCAAGAGAAATGGAAACCAAGAGATATGTCCACACAAAAATGGGTACATGAATGTTCTTGCCAATATTTTCATAACAACCAAAAAGCAGAACCACCCAGATGTCCATCAACTGATGGATAAGGGCACGTAACTCGGTTGCAGTTTGTCCCCGGCCCTGGTTGGTCGTGCAGGTGGCAGCCACTCGATGTGTCCCTTCACGTCGATGTTTCTCTCTCTCTCTCTTCCTCTCTCTCCCTCCCGCTCTATCTGTACAAAAAATGGAAAAATGTCCTCGGGTGAGGATAAAAAAAAAAGGACAAAGGATTTGAACAAACATTTATCTAAAGAAGCTATACAAATGAACAATATCCATATGAAAAGATGGTCAACATTAGTCACTAGGGAAATGCAAATGAAAACTACAATGAGATACTGCTTCAAACAGACTAGAATGGTTATAAGCAAATAACAAGTGTTGGTGAGGATGTGAAGAAATTAGAACCCTCACAGCCACAGTGCAAAAAACAGTCCGGCAATTCTTCAGAAAGTTACACATAGTTACCATGACTCAACAATTCCACCTGTCGGTATACAACCAAGAGAAATGGAAACATATGTCCACACAAAAATGGGTACATGAATGTTCTTGGCAATATTTTCATAACAACCAAAAAGCAGAACCACCCAGATGTCCATAAACTGATGGATAAACAAAATGTGCTCTATTCACGCAATGGACTATTCAGTCTGATACCTGCTACGGCACAGATGAAGCTCTGAAGACATTATGCTAAATTAAAGAAGCCAGACACAAAAGGACAAATCTTGTTTGATTTCAATTATGTGAGGTGCCAGGCATAGGCAAATTCAAAAATTGAAAGATTAGAGGTTATCAGGAGTTGGGTTACAATCACCAGGGGTTTAGTGATCAGAGTTTCCATTTGGGGTAGTAAAGTTTTGGAAATAAATAGAAGTGATGGTTGTACATTATGAATGGAATGAATGGAATATAATTAATGCCAGTGAACTAACTGTATACTTAAAAATGGTTTGGCTCAGTGGTTAGAGTGATGGCCCGTGGACCTGAGAGTCTCGGGTTTGATTCTGGTCAACAGCATGTACTTCAGTTGAGGTTTGATCCTGGGCCCTGGTTGGGGTTGTGTGGAAGGCAACCAATCAGTGTTTCTCTCTCTCCCTCCCTCCCATTCTGTCTGAAAATCAATGGAATAGCTTTGGGTGAGGATTTGGAAAAAAAAAAAAGGTTAAAATGGTAAATGTTATGTGTATTTTACCACAATAAAAAAAAAAAAAAAGGAATGAAGTTATAACATGGATAGATTTTGAAAACATTATTCTAAGTGAAAGAAACCAGACATAAAGTCCACATGTTATATGATTCCATTTATGGTGAAATGTCCAAAATAGGCAAATCCAGAGACAGAAAGAAGGTCAGTGGATGCCAGGGACTAGGAGGAATGGGTTGGAGAGCAATGGGGATGGGGGGGGGGGGGAGGCGGGACACACAGGTACATCTTTTTGGGGTGGTGAAATATTCTGGAATTAGTGGCAATGGTTGCAAAACTTTGTGTGTATACTAAAAAGTGAATTTACACTTTAAGAGGGTGAATATTATCTCACGGAAATTAAGTGAATGCCAAAGATAAGGAATAATGCTTTCTCGACAAACTGTTAGAAATTTCTTTATTATTATTTATTAAGCACCAGCTTAATAATGCAGAAAATTTCAAATCACCCTTTGACAATTCATTCTCCCCCTCACAAATTCTTGATAATGAACTTTTCAAGTAAAGACACATTCTCTTCTCTCTTCTGTATAAAACTTTATGAATTAAAGGCAAAGAACTGTGTACATCTTGCTGTAAAATGCTGCCAACGGCTGTGAAAACAGCGTCTGCCCAGTTCTCCTTATTGTCCTGGTCCTGAAAGACTCTTGTTCATGAACTGTCTCTTCACAAAGCAAGTCCACCACTAACGAGAGAGGACAAAACAGAATGAACAGTGGCGGTCAAATACAATGCGAGTTCAAGATAAGGCCAGAATAATTTAACATTAAAATTTAATATTAGTATGGCAGCCCTTATGTTATACACACTCCTTGGAAGCATGTAAAAATGTAAAATTCTTTTTTTTTTTTTAGTGACTTATACGTTACTCAAAATTACAAAGACAAAACAGATGTAACACATTCAAGATATATCATGCAAAAAAAAAAAAAGTGTTCTATGAGGTTTACAATGCCCTGATATAAGAACAAACCAAAATTTTTTATTATATGCAATCGTTATTCACTGTGATTCAGTGAACTCTTAGTATATATACAATGCACATGCTCAAAGTTTGCAACACTGCGACGCAGAAACTAAAAGTTTTCTTGCAATGAATGACCTTAGTGTTTCATTTAATGGAGGTTATAGGATAAAAGGTGACTTATCAACTAAACAGGCAAAGAAGAGGTCTTACCTTGCTGGGTTTATCATTCTGAGGGTCAAAAACTTTCTCACAAAGTCTCACTCCAGTCTCTTGCCTTAGCTGCTGTAAATAGGCCCTCATCACTTCTAAAATAGGGAGCAGGTAGAACAATACAAAAAAACTGAATTTGAGAACGCACCACAAACGTGCCCATTGCTGATCTGGACACTGACGTTCGTAACATATTTCTATATCTTCCAACAGGGTAAGAAATAGAAATGACAGTCTGAAGGATTTTATAAGTACATTCATTTTGATCCAAAAGATTCTCTAACATGTTATACTTGTTACCAAGAATCTTTTGTGAGAGTGGCTAATAAGATAATGTATGTACTACTCATTCCACTCTCAGTATTATACCAATCAGGCAGGAAGAGGAGGGGATACAACGTCAAGTGGAGAAGCCTTGTGCCAGAGAGAGGCAGAGCCCCTGTCCTTACCGTCTTCCTGTTTGTTTGCAGGTTTCGCATAAATCGCGTTAAGTGGAAAACCAGGCTCTCCAGGAATGGGAAAATTAGTAATTCCCAGAGTATACATTTCTTTCTCGCCTTGGCTTTTGGAATTGCACTGAAAAAAAAAAAAAATTATGCACACACATGTATTTTACGGGGAAAATAATAATATCCAATTTGTGAATTTTTAGTCTAAATAGCTATGGCTGGGGTTAATGTTTCTGATGACCCTTGGCAATCTGGTGAAGCCTGTAGGCCCTTCTCCGAATAATGTTTTAAATAAATAAATAAATAAATAAATAAATACATAGAATTACAAAAGAAACCAATTATACTGAAACATAATAATTATAATTGTAATAGTGAAAAAACAAATGTATGTTATAGTCATACATGTGCTTCTCTATTCATGCACTAAATACAAGATCTTGCAGTGGTCCTAACTAACTAAATTCTGAAGTAGAAATGATTGTAAACAATATTGCAAAACATCTTCCACTCTAAATGCAAAGTAGTGTGATTTCTATTGGTGAAAAGTCACAACTTTTCACACTGTGGGTTGTTGTTCATGTTAATAAAAAAATAAGTACTAAATTTCAGTTACAGGTTAGTAAAAAGAAAGATGGAATCTTTTCCCACTCAAGTTCATGGACCCCCTGAATTCTATCCTTGCAGACTCCCAAATTAAGAACCTTTGAGCCAAGAGCTCAAAAAGGAATTTTTTGCTCAATATTTCTATCTTGGGAAAATACAGGCAAAGCGTATCCTCTGATTAGTCAACTACACTGTTAAGTTTAGAGATTCATATTCAGATATTTCTCTCAGGTCCATGCTCTAAGTCAGAGGAAATATTTTCTGCTTGCCCTTAGAGTCTCACCAAGTCCCAATACCTATTAGCAATTTTTTTTCCTGGGAGATGATCATCCAAGTTTAATTACCTTTTGGAGTTTCTTTAGACACTCGGAAATATAGAGAGTTATGTATATCAAGGTTCTATCAGCTTCATTCTACAGGGGGGAAAACAACACTTAAAAACAGTCCTGAACAAACATAACAATTATGTTCAATAAATGAATTCAGTCTTTGTCTTTTGATTATCAACTGAAAACTGCATAAGTATAGTTCTTATAGCATCAAAAATTCCCATTTCGGTGAGCTCTCCCTGCCCAGAGCAGCCCACCCGAGCCTTTCCTGTCCTTCTCGTCTTTCCCCACAGGTGTGCATCTCCTAAACTCTAAGGGACCCTAACAGACTGCAACTAGGGGAGCAGTGGGCAGCAGCAGCTCGTCCTGGGCTAAACTCCTGAACGGTCTCCAAGGGCCCCCTTTCTCTGACTTTCCCGTGAGCTGACAGTAGCCCCACCTTAGCTCACTTCTTTCCTGTAACATCTCTCGAGAGCCAAAGCAGCCCTGCCCACGCTCCTGTTGCTTCGTCTATCCTAGGCTTTTCCTAGTTTCAAAATGAAACTAGGAAAAAAATTAAAAAAAAAAAAAAAATCCCCACTCTCCAAATTCAGTCTTCTCAAGCCCACTTTCTGTCCACCCTGAGCTGTGTGGCTACTTCTGTTGTTTCCGGCTCCTCTTGTCCCTGGGTTCCCAAGGATCTGTGCTAACAGCCCTCACTCTGTGTAGGAAGCAGAATTCACTGAGCTGCCGGGGAAATCTGAGGTGCACCATATGGTTGGCTACTCTTTAAGAAACTCTTTCACTTTAGGAACTCTGCCGAGAACAAATCATTCATGACTCTAAAAGAGGAAGCAATTATTTCATGTGGCGTGTTCTTGAAGAGCTCCGTAAGTCCGACTCTTAACCTAACCAAAAGGAAAATGTGGAAAAGGCCAATGGGTGTTGATCAAATGTGGCATGTACTTCAGGTCAAACAGATTTTTAGAGTTTAAAAACAAACTACACATTTCCCTCTATTTAAGATCATATGTGATATTCAAGAAAGAATGAAATGTGGCAGAATTCTAATATTTATTTACACCTATAACAAATACACCATTTCGACCATGTATTAGATACAGGAAACACTCTGCTAATATCACAGGATGTTTAGACTATTTGTAGACCAAGAGTCTAAATAAAAATTTCAGACCGTTTGATTCCAAAGTCAAAGTTGGGCAAGGAGTTCTAGAATATTATCCACAAAATATGTTGACATTTCTTTTTTTTTCTTTATCCTCATCCGAGGACATTTTTTCATTTTTTGTTCAGATAGAGCGGGAGGGAGAGGAAGAGAAAGAGAGAGAGAGAAACATTGACGTGAAAGGGACACATCGAGTGGCTGCAACCCACACGACCAAACCAGGGCCGGGGACAAACTGCAACTGAGATACATGCCCTTAGTGGGAACTGAACCCGGGTCTCTCTGGACTGCAGGCCGACGCTCCAACCGCTGAGCCAAACCAGCCAGGGCGACGTTTCTTACAGCTTGCTCATAGCGAGAGTTCTGAAACTTCTTTCCACTTCCCTCCTCCTTCTCTGCCGCCTTTCCCTCTACCTGATCCCTACCAAGAACTAAGAGAAGGGGAGAAATGGTGCTTGAAGGAAGGGTCAGGGTTGTTGAAGTTTCTTTATTTCTCCAGCTCAGGTCCAGGACACAGAAGTATATAAAAAATAACACTGCACATAGGATTTTTAGTTTTAGACAGGCATGTAGCAGGTGCTTAGCTAATGTTGAATAAAGAAAAAAGGACCAGGCCTGGCCAGTTTTGCTCAGCGGTTAGAGCATCAGCCTGTGGTCCAGAGAGACCCGGGTTCAGTTCCCGCTAAGGGCGTGTACCTCGGTTGCAGTTTGTCCCCGGCCCTGGTTGGATTGTGCGGTGGCAGCCACTTGATGTGTCCCTTTCACGTCGATGTTTCTCTCTCTCCCTCCTACTCTATCTGAACAAAAAAATGGAAAAATGTCCTAGAGTGAGAATAAAAAAAAGAAAAAGAAAAAAGGATCAGATAATAAATATTTCAGGCTTTGCAGGCTGTACAGTTTTTTCTTTATTGATTTTTAGAGACAGAGGAAAGAAGAGGGAGAGAGATAGAAACATCAGTGAGAAAGAACATCAACTGGCTGCCTCCTGCATGCACCTCACTGGGGATCGGGCCCACAACCTGGGCATTTGCCCTGACCAGGAATTGAACCGGCGACCTCTTGGTGCATGGGTTGATGCTCAACCACTGAGCCACACCTGCTGGGCCAGGCTGTATAGTTTTTATTACAACTGCTAAACTTGGCTATTGTGGTGTGAAAGCAGCGATAGACAATATATAAACAAATGTATGTGTCTGTGTTCCAATAAAACTTTATTTACAAAAAGAGGTGGTAGGCCAGATTTGGCCCTCTGGCTGTTGTTTGCCAACCCCTGGTGTAGACTTTGGAGGAGAATAAGACATTGATATCGCTATAAAGTCTAACATTAAGTGCTGTTTTGGATTTTTTAAAGTACATAATCTCATTCTATATACTCCTTGGGGCAACCTTGACTGCCAGCTAGAAATTTTTCCAATCGGAAAATTAATTAGATATTAAAAAGCTCTGTACTTTACCTTAATTTCATAGTTTTTGAAGAAGACATTGGCCTTGAAGTAATAGATGGCTTCATCCACAATATCTGTATCTTTTGCTAAGCAGGACACAAGGGGAGGGGGCAGAGATCATTAGCTTGATGCAAAACATAACATCTAAAAGAGGTATAAAGAAAAATAATATCCCAGCTCAATGGTAAGGAGATTTGGAGTTGAATAAAATAAAATTAGGCCACTAAAATATAAAGTCTTTAGAAACAATTTCTAGAAAAATATATATTCTTATATCTTTATTGTTTTTATAAAAATTATACATGCTCAGCCCTGGCCGGTTTGGCTCAGTGGTTAGAGTGTCAGCACGTGGTCCAGAGAGACCCGGGTTTGGTTCCCGCTAAGGGCACATGCCTCGGTTGCAGTTTGTCCCTAGCCCCAGTTGGGGTTGTGCAGGAGGCAGCCACTTGATGTGTCCTTTTCACCTCGATGTTTCTCTTTCTCTCTCTCTTCATCTCTCTCCCTCCCACTCTATCTGAACAAAAATGGAAAAATGTCCTCGGGTGAGGATAAAAAAAAAAAATTATACATGCTCATTAGAAAAATTAATTAATCAATACCAAAAATTTTTAATTGTTACCCTAATCTCACTTCCCAGAAATAACTACTGTTAACACTTGGAAAACATCGTTCCAGACATCTCTCATGCATTTATAAATTATAGAATGGGACACAAACAGACTAAATTCAACAAAATGATTTAAAAAGTATTCGATACAATTTTATTTGAATCTATACACTAAGTTGCAGGGGGGAAAACCTCTCAATTGTCATTTAGGAACCCATTGGGGTTTTCATACACATCTTTCTGTTTATAAAAACTATGACTTCAGATGTATTTGTACAAGCTGTTCTAGGTGGCTAGAGACTGAAAAAAGCCAGAAATACTGTTGTGACAAAGATAGATCTCATTACACAATTTCTTTGGCAATTTTTGTTTTCCTTTTTTTATTTTAAAAAGGTCACAATCCCATGGTCTTGGTATCCGGCAGCTGGTTTCAGCAACCCACAGACAGTGATTTATATTTCTTGTCCATGACTGCGATCCCTCTCACACAGCAGAAACGTAAAGTAATCCTGAAGTTTTAATATGCTGTAATTCAGTTGTCTTTACCCCTGCTCATTCCTCCGCTAAAGAATTTCAACAGAATTTGCACTCTAGACTTGTGTTCCTTGATCTATTTTCCTATCTGCATATAGGAAACTTCCTCAAAGGATTCAACAAAAACCAGCTAGTTCTTTTAAATGTCACCATAGGTGTATGTGTGGTGGGGAGGCTACAGGATTCAGAATCTAGAAGTGTGTATGGCACATAAAATGTGTTCAAAAGACGTGTTGGGCCCTGGCTGGTTTGGCTCAGCGGTTAGAGCGTAGGCCTGTGGTCCAGAGAGACCCGGGTTCGGTTCCCGCTAAGGGCACGTACCTCGGTTGCAGTTTGTCCCCGGCCCTGGTTGGTCGTGTGGGAAGCAGCCATTCGATGTGTCCCTTTCATGTTGATGTTTCTCTCTCTCTCCCACTCTATCTGAACAAAAAAAATGGAAAAATGTCCTCGGGTGAGGATTAAAAAAAAAAAAAGAATTATAAAGTGGTAATTAGATTTACTCCTTGGTCAATTGCATCTTCTGATACACCATATGGTATTTCGCAATGATCTGAAAAGGGTTCTTCTCAAGGAATCTGAGCCAACATTGACTCATTTTTTTCTTTGCACTGTAATTCTTTTACATCATTTTTCTTCCCTTTGTTCTGCTTTTCCACCTATCTGTTCCTTTTTCTTCATCTCAGAATCAAGTAAAGACTGTAGTGACTCATCAGATTTATTAAGTTTATTAAGCTTTCAAATGACATTAAATACAAAATTAAATTTAAAAAGGTCAAGTCAGGCAGTCTGGCAAAGGAACGAAGATGGCCTCAATACAAAATCGTTAATTAAAACCACAGTCGTGGAAACCATGAGTGGAACTCAGTGCAGACCCCTTCTGGGTGCAGGAAACCATGTCTAATATAATACAAATTACACTGTTGGCAGAATATCTCAGAATGTGTCAGAAGAGTCTCAGATAATATCTGGAAAGAATGGGGCTTTCTGAACAGTAAAAAGTGGTTCCCAAAAAAAAGAGTGTGAGTACAGCCCTGGCTGGTTTGGCTCAGCGGTTGGAGCGTCGGCCCATGGAACGAGTCTCACGTTTGATTCCGGTCAAAGGCACGTACCTCAGTTGCAGTTCGTCCCTGGCCCTGGTCGGGGTCGTGTGGGAGGAAGCCAGTTGCTGTGTCCCTCACATCGATATTTCTCTCTCTCACTCTAACTGAAGATAAATAGAAAAATATCCTCGAGTGAGGATTAAAATAAATAATGTGAGTACCAAGAAAGAATGCAAAGATATAAAACTCAGAATTAGTGGCTCAGTTGGTTGGGTGTCCTCCCATGAACCTAAAGGTTGCCAGTTTCATTCTCTGTCAGGGCACATGCCCAGGTTGTGGCTTGATCCCTGGTAGGGGGTGTGCAGGAGGCAGCCGACTGATGTTCTTTTCCCACATCAATGTTTCTCTCTCTCTCTACAAATCAATAAAAATCTTTTTAAAAAAAGATTTAAGCCCTAACTGGTTTGGCTCATCAGTTAGAGCGTTGGCCTGTGGTCCAGAGAGACTCGGCTTCGGTCCCCACTAAGGGCACGTATCTCGGTTGCAGTTTGTCCCTTGCTCTGGTTGGGTCGTGCGGGTGACAACCACTCGATGTGTCCCTTTCACGTCGATGTTTTTCTCTCTTTCTCTCTCTCTCCCCCTCCCACTCTATATGAACAAAAAATGGAAAAATGTCCTTGGGTGAGGATAAAAAAAAAAAGATTTAAGATTGCTAAAAATGAAATTCACAAAGAATGGATAAAGTAGATTTATATGGGGAAGAGGTTAAAATGTTTTTTTCCAGCTTGGTAACAGAGAAGGGGTGGGGAAATGGCATTCTATAGAAGTAGTTGCATTAGATTGGTTTGTAAGAACTGACAGTGACGATAGAAAGAGTGTCAAGCCCTGGCCAGTTTGGCTCAGCGGTTAGAGCGTCGGCCTGCAGTCCAGAGAGACCCGGGTTCGGTTCCCGCTAAGGGCACGTACTTCGGTTGCAGTTTGTCCCCGGCCCTGGTTGGTCGTGCGGGTGGCAGCCACTCGATGTGTCCCTTCACGTAGATGTTTCTCACTCTCTCTCCCTTCCACTCTATCTGTACAAAAAAAAAAAAAAAAAGGAAAAATATCCTTGGGTGAGGATTAAAAAAAAAAAAAAGAGAAAAGAAAGAGTGTCAAGATTTAAGCACATTTTCTCTTTCCCCTCAACAAAATAGCCTGGAGAAATTAGTAGCAATAATATAACTTCCTATTAGATACAACACGTACTCGTGATCTTGAAAGGTTTAAAAAGCAATATCCACCAAGTAAACAAAATACAAGAGCAACCAGAGGCAGAGGACTGAACTAAGAATTTCCCCAACTTGATAATGTCAGAGGGTTGCTAAATGTTTCATACCAAAATCTGAAAATAATGGAAAGGGGTTTCGACTTACTCTCTCTAGGGGCGGGTCCTTTGAACTGACTTCTGATGGGCAACAGTGCCATGTTTCCAATGAGTTTGGTGTCCGGGTCCATGAGAGAAGAGTGGTAAGCCTGTAGTGGCAAGGTGAGAATTCAGAAACAGAAGGAGAACAAATGTCAGTGGGCCAGACAAGTCTATTTCTCCAAAGGAAAAAAAGAGTAACCTACCCAAGATTAACTAGGGAATGTTAAATTTTCAGGAATTTTGAAAATTTTTGAGCCAAGCTGGTTGTTGAACACAGTCATTATTAAAACTTAAATTATATAAATTTGTAATCAATTATATTAAAAATAAAGGTAATCAAGTCTCAAAATTCATTACTTCCTATTTTTAAAAATTATTTTACTCTTGTCTATGATCTTAAGGTTATTTATGTCTTTTGTATCTTTACGGTGGAAATACTCCATAATGGGGTGTTACTGTGCATCTCTTCCAATTCCATGTTCAGTGACACTACACTGGTGATGGGTGGGTGTATTTACACTACAGAAAAAGGCAAATACTGCCCAACTGGTGTGGCTCAGTGGATTGAGTGTCATCCCATGGACTGAGTGGTCCTGGTTCGATTTCAGTCAGGGCACATGCCCAGGTTTGGGGCTCGATCCCCAGTAGGGGGCATGCAGGAGGCAGCCGATCGCTGTATCGCCCTCACAAAGATGTTTTTATCTCTCCCCCTTCCTCTCTCTCTAAAAAAAAATAAAAAATATATATATTTAAAAAAAATAAAGAGCCTTGACTGATTTGGCTCAGCGGTTAGAGCGTCAGCTCGCAGACCCAAGAGTCCAGGGTTCGGTTCCCGCTAAGGGCACGTACCTGGGTTGCAGTTTGTCCCCGGCCCTGGATGGGTCGTGTGGGAGGCAGCCACTCAATGTGTACCTTTCACACTGATTTCTCTCTCTCTCTCTCTTCCTCTCTCTCCCACTCTGTCTGAACAAAAAATGGAAAAATGTCCTCGGGTGAGGATAAAAATAATAATAAAAATAAAGAAAAAGGCAAACACTATAAAAACCAGGGGTACCCACCCCTCAGATGTTGTTAAGCCAGAACCCAAGCACTGGTTTTTCAGTTCTGCCACTTCCTGGCTTTATATCTTTGACCAAGACATCACTTTTCTCATCTTAGCCTGTTTTCAATTTTGTGAAATGAAAAGATATATACTGCCTTCAGTGGGTAGGTGTGAGTTAAAGGATTGGGGGGGGGGGTCACATTTATGAGAACAATTTGTATGAGTCCTAGTTCTGCCTTTTATACAAATGTCTGGCTTTTTGTAAGACAATATAGGCCCCATTCATATATTCATTCATTCACCAAACAATAACTAAGCCCCTTCTAAGTGCAAGGCATAGTGATCTAAAGGTCAAGACCAGTATAATCTCCATCCCTCAGGAACTTTCAGGCTGATGGACAAGACAGATATTGCCCGGTTGGTGTGGCTCAGTGGTTGAGCGTCGACCCATGTACCAAGAGGTCACCAGTTCCATTCCCGGTCAGGGCCCAGACTGTAGGCCCGACTCCCAGTGAGGGGCATGCAGGAGACATCCAATCGATGTTCTCTCTCATTGATGTTTCTATCTCTCTCTCTCCCTCTCCCTTCCTCTCCCTCTAACGTCAATAAATAAAAAGATAAAGACATATTAAATAAGTAATCACAGGGAAAATCCAGGGTGTTCTATGTCCAACTGAAATCAGCACAAAGCTATAGAGTCCTGGCTTAAAGCCTGGCTTACCAAGGCAAAGCTTTTGCATTAGTGTGCAATCTTGGGCAAATTATTTAACTTCTCTCAGCCTGTTTCCTCCTCTGAAAAATGAGAAAACAATAACATATCTACTACTTCATAGGGTCTTGTTCCCCATTTATTTCCTTCATAGCATTTGTCACTACCAGAAATAATCTCCTTTATTTTATTTACATTTACATGTTTATTGCCTGCCTCTCCATTAGAATGTAAACTCCTTTTTTTTAAAAAATTATTAATTTTTGTTACAGATGTTTCTCCTTTTCCCCCCACTGATTCCCCCCTCCCCCTGCCTAGAATGTAAACTCCTTAAGAGCACGGATTTGGCCCTGGCTGATTTGGCTCAGCAGTTAGAGTGTCAGCCTGCAACTGAAGGGTAATGGGGTGGATTCTGGTCAAGAAGATGTAGCTGGGTTACAGGTTTGATCCCCAGCCCCAGTCAGGGTTGTGCAGGAGGCAACCAATCGATGTGTCTCTCTCACATTGATGTTCATCTCTCTTTCCCCTTCCCTCTCTTCCACTCTATCAGAATTAATGGAAAAATATTCTCAGGTAAGGATTAACAAACAAAAAAAGAGCAGGGATTTGCTGGCCTCATTCACTGTTGTAACCATGCTTACTTGGCATGCAGTAGGTGCTCAGTGATGTCTGTTTTTGTTTTTAAATCCTCACCTGGGATATTTTCCCATTTATCTTCAGATAGAGTGGGAGGGTGGGGGAGAGAGAGAGAGAGAGAGAGAGAGAGAGAAACATCAATGTGAGAGAGACACATAGATTGGCAGCCTCCAGCCCGGCCCTGGTTCGAGGATGAACCTCAACCGAAGTATGTGCCCTTGGCTGGAATCAAACCGGCAACTCCTTGGTCTGTGCGCTGACGCTCTAACTGCTGAGCCAAACTAGCCAGGGCTGATGTTTGTTTTTGAATAATTCCATGTTGTTGAACCTCCTTTTCTAATTTGCAAAATGGAGTCCTACCACGATGGTGATAAATTTACTCCACAGACTGGCTTTCAGAAATTAAGAGAGCCTGGCTGGTGTGGCTCAGTAGATTCAGCCTGGTCCCATGGACTGAGAGGTCCCGGTTTGATTCCCAGTCAGGGCACAGGCCCGGTTTCAGGCTCCATCCCCAGTAGGGGGCATGCAGGAGGCAGCCGATTATTGTTTCTCACATGGATGCTTCTATCTCTCTCTCCCTTCCTCTTTTGCTAAAAAAACAACAACAAAGAAACAAAATAACAAAAACCTATTTTTTAAAAAACTGGAATGGCCATATTAAAAAAAAAAAAGGAAAGAAATTAAGAGAAACCAGACCACCACTAATTTTATTCCTATTCTGATGCACAATAAAATAGGAGCATTTGGAAACCAGGCGCCGACCTTGAGTTTGCCTTGGGGCCCCAAACCCAGCGGCTCAGGGGTGGCCGCCAAAGCGGGGGCCACAAGGGAGAAGGTGAGGTCTGACAGATGACAAGAAGCGGAAGGAACCCGCCCGCTGGGGCGCAGAAGGAAGTGAGACTTCACAAAGAAGCCGGACCCTCGACTTGAAAAATTAAAAACAAATAAAAATAAAAAGCGCAGCCCTTGGCTTCGCGGCTCTATTGAGGCTTTGGGGACCCTGCCGGAGTCGGGGGGTGCAGAAAGGGCAAAGACGGGCCAGGAACTGGAAGAAGGGGCCAGAGGGCCGAGGCAGCCTGTTCTGCACGCCCACTCTGACCTACTCCGCTGCTCCCCGCCCCCGTGGCCGACACCCCCGGGCCGCCCCAATCCTACGAGAACTGGCTCCCTCCTCTTCCCTACGCTAGATCCCGCTTTCCCTCCGATCAGCTTGGCCCGCTCCGCTCCGCGCACGCACAGTTTCGCACCGCTCTCCCCAATTCTCGCCATCACCCCACACCCCTGACTCGGGCTCCTTACCGGCATCTTGATGGTCCCCGAGTTTCAACTCGATGAGCAGGATCCGGTTAAAGAGCAAGAGAGCGGCTGGTCTGGCGCTCGGGCGGGGCAGGCGGAAGTGAACCGGAAGAGGCGGGCGAGGGGAGGACGTGCGCTTCCGGTCTTGCGGGTCGGCCGCGCGCCGCCGCGTCTGCGCGGTTCCGACGGGGCGCCGAGGGGCGTGCCAGCCCGGCGTGGGGCCTGAGTGTCGCGCGCGCGTGAGGCGTGGAGCGGGCGCTGGGTCTTCGGGTTACAAACCCCCGGGGGAGCATTCCACGGGTCACACTGTTTTCAATTCATCCCCATTCCACCCGCGTGGCTCATCCTTCCTTCCCTCTTATGTATCTTTTACTTAAGTTGACTTTTGGTGTGTATCATCCCATTCGTGGGACCATCAAAAAGGAGGGGATCGTTGTCCGTTTTGTTTACTGCTGTGTCACAACCCCCTCAGCCCCCAGGTCTAAAAAGGTGATGGCACAAAATGAGCATCAATACATTTTTGCTAAGTGAATGAACCCAACTGGACTCCGGGTTTGAATTCCAGCCCTTCACACTCTGGCTGTGCAATTTGGGGCTGGAGTACTTTGTCCTGTGTTCCCACAACTGATTTCTCATTTAGGTCTCTGGCCAGACAGCACCTTTTAGGAAGAGCCGTCTTTGATAACGACTTCAAAGCTGCCCGTTACCACTTTCCCTTTCATTACTGTTTCTTCCTCCCATTCCTTTTCTGGTGCCCTTGTCTATGGTTAATCTCAAGGGCCTCATCAAGGCCGCTCCGTGAGCATAAGGTTTTGTCTGTCCTGCACATCCATTTTATCTCGGGGCCAGGCACCCACCAGCAAATTGAGCAATGTCAAGCTCTCCTATTTGGGAAAAGTTATTAATTCCAAAATTTGCCCTGGGTATTTCAAATTCTGAATGGAAAACATAAGTGTAATGAAAGTTTGGTGCTATTTCTTTTATTTATATACATACATATCTTAAAACAGTCATTTTCCAGTTTGTAATTATACAAATAATACATTTTCAATGTAAGAAAATTGGAAGACAGATAAATAATGATCTATATCCTGGCGGATTTTTATCTTTGGACACATATATGTAGTTTTGTTACAGTAATTCCTGTACCTCCAAAAACATTAAAAAATAACAAAAACCAAACAGAAAAAATAAAGGTAGACTGGTCTTAACTGTTCCACAGGTACTAATTTACATTATATACAAATCTATGTGCTTTCATTTCTTTTTTTTTTCTTTATTGATTTTAGAGAGGGAGAGAGAGAAACATCGATGAGAGAGAACACTGATTGGCCGCCTCCTGCATGCCCCACACTGGGGATTGGGCCCACAACCTAGGCATGTATCCTGACCAGGAATCGAACCACTGATCTCTTGGTGCATGGGTCGATGCTCAACCACTGGAGCCACACTGGCCAGACTATGTGCTTTCATTTCAATTCCAATTTTAAAATCTAAATTGATACTGTAAAAATATAACACTAAAACATTCCACTTTAAACAGCAGCAGCTTCAGAATAACTAAGTTGATTGAGGTGTGCTGCAGATAAAACGCCAAATATTTGTTCATTAAAATACACAGCTTTCTAGTACTGCATCCTTTGAGAAAAATGTTTTGCTGGTTCAGCCACAAGCTCTTCATGTATATATTTTTTAATAAACTTTTTATTCATTCTGATGTTCTTGAAAATACTCATCAAACATTGACGATGACTCATCTTCATGTTCCTGACAGAGGAAACAAAATAGAAAATAATTGACTTTCCCCTCAGTTAGACCTAGTATGTGTTTACTTTTCAGGGAATGCTGTACAAGGAGCTAACACCCAGCATCAGCTCCTGGTGTTGCTCATAGGTAACAGTTAATAGTAACAAAAGGCATGACTGATAGAATATTTCCAGACAAATGATAAAGTGCTTACATCTCATTAGAAGCATTCCTTTCTTTTTTAAAAAATCCTCACCTGAGGACATTTTAATTGATTTTTAGAGAGAGGGGCAGGGAGAGGAACAGAGAGAGAGAGAGAGAGAACCATCCATGTGACAGAGAAACATCGATCAATTGCCTCCTGTACAGGCGCTCTGGGGATCGAACCTAAAACCTAGGTATGTGCCCTGATCGGGAATTGAACCTGGGACCCTTCTGTGCACAGGGCAACGCTCCCACCAACTAAGCCACACTGGCCAGGGCTAGAAGCATTTCTTATGTGACTTTACACTTATGCCAATTCTCAGCTAAGTTACTGTGATAGTACCCTACTGACAACTATCATTAGTGTTTCCTGACATATGTAAGGGCAGCCCAAATTTAATTGGATTTTACCTCCTTTTAGCATCTGAGTACAAAGAAACATAAATCAGTAACATTGCCTCGATAAAAGGTAGAGTAAAACTGATACTGCTCATTGAGTTCAGGTGTCAATTTCAGAGATCACCCAGAAAAACCCAGGTTACTGCCACTGCTAAGACAAAAATTAATTTGAGTTCCCAGGATTATGCAGGAGACCAAGAAGTGCTGAAAAACATTTTTACCAAAGCCAATAAATACCCTAAACCAGAAATTACCTTGGGTTCTTTAAATTCCAAGTCTTCTCCATACTGAATGGCAAAATCAATATGCTGTAATACAATGTTCATGCTTTCTTCATCTGACTGATCGTAAGGCAAAAATCGAACCATGCTGTAGTCGTCAATCTATAAGTTGGGGATTTCAGAAAGGGTCATTCTGAAATTGTGCAACATGCTTAATTTTCAACTTATACTGAATTTTATAACCATTACTACTGATTAATCCATTTGTAGGGGGTTAGGGATAGATAGAGACAGAACAGAAAATCGGTATTCATTGTTAGGGTCTAACTTAATAGAACACTTACTAAGTAATAAGTAAATAACTTACTACTTAACTAGATACTGTTTCATAGACATTTATCTGAATTCAACAACCACTGAAAATTTCAACAAGGCACAGATAATTCTGAACTCACAAAATGACTTGGAATTATGGACATTTCAATTAATTTACTGGTTATTGCTAATAACTGTTTCTAAATTAAACGGCTAACTGGTCAGCTCACAGCCTCTTATCACCATCTCTCCCCTTTGCAAGGAAATATGTGCTTCCCATAATGGTGGCCACTGACCGGACATCAGTGAACACCTGACCAGGTGATTAAAAACAAAAAACTTAATAAGCTTACCAGTCCACAAATAGCTTTCGTCAATTTTTTGAATTTTTTACTTCTTAAGTCACTTGTAGAATCATCTAATAAAGAATACATGTCTGGATCCAGAAACCTTTAAAAATGAGAGAAACTGATGAATAAAAGGAATAATAAATCAGGAAACTAGATCAACAGACAGACAGAACCTCACATGTAAATAAGTAAAGCTTAGAAAATTTATCTCTGAAATTGAGATCTGATGATAATGGATGATGTGAACTCACTTCTCAATTTCCTTTTTAGCTTTCTTACTCAGCAGGTCCATTTTTGTCATGATGTTAACTTGTGGAATTTCTAGAGAGATCATAGCGCTCAGGGCTGCCAAAATGCCAGAAATAAACTGGAGGAGGAAACAGGAAAGGGAAAATGAATCAATAGGTGCCAACAAAGTTCCCTGGTCTCTGAATGAAAGAGAGGGTTCTGCACCTCACTGGGGAATTGGCCTAAATCAAAGAAACAATAATCCTAAAGAAAAGACAGTCCACTAATCAGATGATTGACTTTTGGTTTCCAAAGGTGAGAAAAATGATAATGTAGATTTAATCTACAGTAATCACAAATCTCAACTGAGATAATATCTTTAACCTGCCTTCCCAATGAAAATTCTTTAAGAGCTATTAATGAGAAATAAAGTTTTAGATAGTTCATAAACTAGACAAATGGTGCCCCAATACTTCTCCAAAATCTATATATCATAATTTACCATTTGAATTAAAAATAGATTATAATACTTCTCCAAAATCTATATATCATAATTTACCATTTGAATTAAAAATAGATTATAATTTAATAATAAGGAATACTAAATAACTCTAAAGTACAGTTTGTGAAATGTTCAAAATTGTACAATAACTAAAGGAGATTGTCATCTGCTTGTACCTATGACTGAAATAGCAACAATGGATTTATCCTCGAACCTTGAACGACTCCACCATAAACTGGGAATCAACCAGGAAAACTCCACAGACTCGGAACTCCCACTGTTCTAGTTGCTGGATTAGTTGTTTCATCACAGGCAGGTGCGTATACAACTCAATCTGACCTACAAGAAGAACATTACAAGACTATTACAATTAGGAAAAATATTAAATCATCAAATTACAGAAAAAAGTTTCCGTATAAAACGGTTAAAAAAAACAAAAGTCAACCCCTGCAAGTAATACATTCAGTTTTAAGGGGTCCTACAGCCTCTTGGAGCAATTACAAAACCATGAGGTTCACCACACTTTAGTTTTTGCCCATCAAAAGTGTGTGCTCCAAAGGTGTTGCAGTTTGGGAATGTTCATTAAGCTCTACCCTTATGACATCTGCACCTTTCTGTGGGTGTGTTCAATTCAAAGCAAGGGGGAAAAGTGAGAGCCACAAATGTCCAAGTTAGGTTAAGCTCAAGTTTAAAATTCACAATTTGGCTTAAGAAGTCATGTGCAATTATCTGTCCCCTACCCTCTTTTCACATTTCTCTTTGTGCACTGTGTGCTTCAGCCACACCAACATTTTTGGTGCCTCAAACTCATCTCATTCCTTCCTGACCCTAGGCCTGCAGCATGCTGTGACTTCTGCCTGGACCACGGTCTCCCTCCCCTTCACGGCCCAGCTTACAGGCCGCTGGATCAGAAGCCTCCTCTAGCCTCCGGGCTGTGGGATGGTCTGTGTTACTCCTGTGGGGCACCAGTCACAAATGAATATTAAATAACATTTGGGTGATTTTTGATTATACTGTCTAGCACTGGCACTTGACTATGAGCTCCATGAGGGCAGACCATGGCTGCCTGGCTCTCTATGGTATTCCCAGTGTACAAAGTTAAGCATTCAGTAAACTCAACAAATGAATTAGAGCCAGTAAATAAGAGCTTTTTACCTTACCGCAATCTGTCTAGAGAGCTCGGAATGCTCACTCTACTTTCTCTCACTGAGGACAGAACCCACATAGCTTCAAGGAAAACGACACATTCAAATTGCTGACCTACCTGGACAGTCAAAAAGGATGTAGTCGTCCTCTACGTGGCCAAGACAGTTCTCTAGCCAGTCAAAGTTATTGGCAAAGTACTCCATGCAAAATACTAATCCTCCATTGGGACCGAATCGCAGAGAATCGTCCTCCATCACGTCATCCACCTCGATCAGTTCCCGGATGTCTGAAACGGACAGGCATGACCCAGAATAGAAAAGCATCCATTTGAAAATTGTTATCCTCACTAGTGATGATTAACAATCATGTAAGAAGGGGGAAGGCTCTTCTCAGGACTCACCAGCCATCACGGAGTAGTTGAAGTGTTCTGCTGCAGGATCAAGGTTCACAACTTGAACAGAACGATTGAGGGCTTCACAGTGCTGTACCATGGTGGCACAGTAAGTGCTCTGTAATGTCACAACAAAGGGCGACAGCAAAATAGTATTACCTCTTGCATCCCCAGAAGGACTTTACACCCCTTGGGCTGTGTCTACTAAGAACAAAACTAGGCCTTCATCGACCCCTGGAGCTAGACAGGGCCTGATTCTCGAATTAGACAAAACTGGATTTCAGCCACCACTTACGGGCTGTGATAATAGGCACAGAACCTTTCTGTGTCTCATTTTCCTTTTCTGTAAAATGGGAATAATAGGGCTTATTCTAGAGCTGTTGTGGAACTAAATGAGGCTTTCAGCACAGTGTCTGGGGCATAAACATACAATAAATATTAGCAACTGTCATTACTCCCTTTCAAAACAACAACAAACGGCACTGAAGCCCAGACTGCAGAAGCAGCTGCCCAGGATCTCAGAGTCCCCAAGACAAACAGCCGCCGGTCCCCTCCTCAGGACCCGAACCTCCCTGCCTCCCACGAACTCCGACTTTTCCCTCCTTCTTCCGCCAAAGCCTCACCTTCCCGCTGCCTGCGGGGCCCATGACCAGCTGCGCATACCGAGGCATGTCGGCTCCAGGTCCCGGGCCGGCGCCGGCGCCGCGCTGCAGCTACTGAGAATCCGACTGCCACGCTCCCGTCAGCTTTCTCGCGACGCCCTGAGTCCCGCGAGCACGAGGTGCAAACCAATCACAATCCACATTCCGTTTACATTTCTCTTCTGCCACACCTCCGACTACGGAGTATCCCGCAGGTCAAATCCCGTGTGAAACGCGTCCGCAGAAAACGCCAGGGAGGAAGGGATGTCGTTCGCGCGTGCGCAGAGGGAGTCGGCGGCAATCGGTGCTGGGAAGAGGGGCGGAGCCTGGTTGCCGTGGTGATAACTGTTTATGGATAACGTCTAACACTCGGCATTCCTGCGCCGGGTGATTTGGTCCTTGGTTTGTGTACTGACGTTTGACATTTATGGTGACACTCGAGATTTGCATATTGCTGAGGGTCTGGAATACTGAGGTGTAAGGCACCTCCTGTTTTAGGGTCTTTCCTTTCCGTGACGCATCCGTTCCACAAAAAGATGCAAAAGAGCAAACGTGCAGTCAACCGAAAGACTCCCGCTCCTCCCCCCGTGTAACTCCGGGATTGTGGATGTGCCCTGCCCGCTCTCCCGAAGCTATTCGGGCAGGGTCCGGGGCGCAGCGGAGGGGGCTACCAGCCGGCATCCGCCTCTTCGCCCCCAGTATCGCCCGACCTGACGCAAGCGTGCCGACCCCGGGGGGGAAGCGGGGAGAGCTTCCCGCACCCAGCTCGCCGTGCCAGCACCAGGGAGGCGATGCTCGGCCAGGGCCCGGTGTCCGCCTGGCCGGACTGCAGCTCTTCTGCCGAGCCGCCTGCAGTGGCCAGGACCGAGGGTGGAGGCGGCGGGTGAGGCTGCGGGCACGGAGGGGTCCGGGAGGATGGCGACCGCCCCGGGTGGGGATCCCCCTTGCAGAGGAGGGGTTGGGAGCTGGCTGCTCCAATCGACTGGTCCCCAGTGCACTGAAGTGAGAGAAGGGGAGAACCTTTGTTGTGGCGGAGATGGGAAATATGGAAGCCGACTCACCGTTTCGGGGAAGGGTTTCTGAGGAGGAGGGTTTGGGGCAATGACAACGCGGTGACTGCGGCAGTCGCCTGCGTGCATCTTGCTGCCCCGAGGGGGCGCTGCGAAACCTGCTAGAAAAGCGGTCTGGCCCCGGACCTCCACCTAAACCCGGCTGAGGGAGAGGGGGACACTGCGGGAACAGTCCTTGGCTCAACCGAGGGCTTCCACGTCAATAGATCGGTTCCGTGTGTGTGTGTGTGTGTGTGTGTGTGTGTGTGTGTGTGTGTGTGTGTGTGTGTGTGTGTGTGTGTGAGATTAGCTACCTTTATGTCAAATGGGGATTCATAATCGTAATGAAACTGATGGCCGAATATTCGAAGCCCTTGATCTGGACGTTTTCTTCACACAGAAGTTCCTTTCTTCATAAATCCATTTTATTTTGAGCAGGTTGTTACTAATATTTTCTGGATGCTGAAGACAATTAGTTGCTGAAGTTACTGCTGAAGGCTGTCCCTTTCCCTTCATCCGTTTCATCAATGATTCCCTTAAACAGAGAGCTGCCGGCTGTCCCTCTCCTGCTGTAGCCCTGGCCTTTTTTAAACAAAAAAGGTGGTGGATGGAAGACAAAGATGGGATGGGGTCCTGTGTTTCTTTTCTGTTCATCACAGTGCTTCGTGCCGTGCTGGATCTTAGTATATCAGGAGAGGAATGAACTCCTGCTCACTGAATAAATAGAAGGAGGAAGGAAGGGTTTTTGCCTTAATTTGAGAAACGAAAAAGAACTTGTGCCCTGGCCGGTTTGGCTCAGCGATTGGAGCGTAGGCCTGCGGTCCAGAGAGACCCGGGTTCGGTTCCGCCAAGGGCGCGTGCCTCGGTTGCAGTTTGTCCTCGGACCTGGTTGGTCGTGTGGGTGGCAGCCACTCGATGTGTCCCTTTCACGTGGATGTTTCTCTCTCTCTCTCTCTCCCTCCCACTCTGAACAAAAAAGGGAAGAATGTCCTTGGGTGAGGATAAAGAAAAAAGAAAAAGAAAAAGAACTTGTACAAAATTAGAAATATTCCAAACCAATTTAGTTCTAGTACACTTTGACTACATACAATCAAAACAAGATAGCCTTTTCCATAGACATAACTTTATTAAAAATAAAGAGAACAAGAAAATATTATGGATAGCAAAGAAGCCCAAACTACTTTATTAAACTCAATGCAGGAATTAGATTAGGAGGCTATAAAACTAAGACCAAATCTGGCTTAAAGTAAGTCCTGTCTAATATGGTAAAAATCTCATATAACTCACTTTGAATAAGTCTGGAGCCATTAGGATATAACCAGAATTACAAGAGAAAATTTGCAAGACATCTGTCTGATGGAAACATAGAAAGTATAAAGCATATGCAATACTGTCCTTTTTTCATTTAAAATACTTTCTCTTTAATGCTTATAAAGCTGTAAATTATTACCTACTATTTACATCTTTTTTTTTTTTTTTTTTTTTTTTTTTTTAACAGATCAGCTGGACAGTCTCATTACCAGAATTCCAAAGGTACTGGTGAGTTGAGCATATAAAACACATAATACCTAAAAATAACATGGTTCAGAGAAGCCAATTTTGTTATAACTACTCACACAATGGAGTTTTAAAAATAGACTTTAATAGCCTCTTTGGTGAGCTTAGTCTTTAAGATTTTTCAGAGCAGGTTCTTTGTCCCCCGTTAAGTTATCTTACATCAATCATTTTAAAACAGTACTTCAAAATAGCAATGAATCTGAAAACTGTGTTTATAACTGATGTTGGTTGAAAAGCACAGAGCACTGCCTGGAGTTTATACACAGATTGAAGGAAAAATTTTAAATTAAACAACTTCAAAGAACATAAAATATTTCTTAATGCTGCTATTTTCCTCTCCCTTGGAGTAAGGGATAGAGCTGCTGCAGTTAAGAGGGTGAGACGGGCCCCCAAAGGTGTCTCATTAATTTTTGGGAGAGAACAATTTCAATTCAATGATATATAAAACTGTATTCACTTTGTTTTTTCTTGGAAATTTAATAGCCCTGACAGTTTAGGAAAAACACATTATCTGTATATATGTAGATATAAACACACAAACACACACACACACACACACACAAATAATGTGGTTTTTAAGTGGAACTGCTGAATTATATCTCCATTCTATGCTTAATATTTTAAGGAACTGCTACACTGTTTCTATAGCAGCTGCACATTTTACATTCCCACCAGCAATACACTGGGTTCCAATTTCTCCACATCCTTGCTAACACTTACTTTCTGCTTGTTTGTTTTTTAATCCTCACCCGAGGATATTTTTCATTTATCTTCCAAAGAGAAACAAGAAACATCAATGTGAAAGAGACACATCGATTGGTTGCCTCCCGCGTGACCCCAATCAAGGCAAGGGACCAAACCACAACCGAGGTATGTGCCCTTGACTGGAATGGAACTCTCGACTCTTTGGTCCTTAGGCCAATGCACTAACGGTTGAGTCAAACTGGCCAGGGCTGCTTTCGTTTTTTTTTTTTTATGATAGGCATCCTTATGGGTATCTCCGAGAGATTTTGATTTTGATTTCCCTAATGATAAGTGATAGCATCTTTTCATGAGCTTATTGACCATCTGTGTGTCTTCTTTGGAGACATCTAAAATCTATTCATGTCCTTTGCCCATATTTCAGTTGGGTTGTTTGTTGTTGAGTTTAACTATTATTTTTATTTATTATTATTATTTTTTAATATTTAATTTTCTGTAAAGAAATGTATCATGCTTTTGAGAAATTAAATTTTAGACCAGGCTATCATATGCATCTCAGAAATATTTTTTATTTTTCTTGTTTTTTTTCCAGAATATTTATTAGCAGGAATACAAAAGATATATTCTTAGATAATTAGTCCACATTTATGACTAGAGAAATAATTTTTTAAAATAACTTTTGAAGTGTTGAACTAGTATTCATTTTATTATTACAGTTTCCAAATTATGGTTTAAGGGTCATAAAAACAATTTCCAGATGATTTTCTATTTGTTGGCAAACTGGTTAGTCTTTCAGTATGCCATATCTGATTTGCCCAAATCTTAAATAACTAAATTTAAAGTTTAATATGTAAAATTATAGTGGTTTTTATAATCAACAATATTAAAACAAAATGGTGCATATTTAATTCACTAAGTAAAAACTTTTAACTTAAAATCTGTTCTGCCAGCTTTATTGATAATAGCCCCAAACTGAAAACAACCCAAATGTCCATTAACAGGTGGGTATATAATCAATTAGTGGTTTATACATACATGCAATGGAATATAACCCAACAACAAAAAAACTATTGTTATACTTACATGGATGGATTAAAAAAAATTTTTTTTCTTGCCCTGGCCTGTTTGGCTCAGTGGTTAGAGCATTGGCCCACCAACCAGTTGGTTGGAGTGTCGTACAGTACACCAAAAAGTGGTTGGTTTGATTCCTGGTCAGGGCACATACCCAAATTGCATGCAGGAGGCAAGCATCCAATGTTTCTCTGTCACACTCTCTCTTCCTCTCTCTAAAATCAATTTTTAAAAAAATTGAGACTCATGCTACTACTACAGAATAATCACTGACACGTGTAAATACATAGATCTTTTCTTTTTCTTTATTGATTTTAGAGAGAGAGGAAAGGAGAGGAAGAGAGAGATAGAAACATCGATGAGCGAGAACATCAATTGGCTGCCTCCTGCATGCCCCCCACGGGGATTGGGCCCACAACCTGGGCATGTGCCCTGACCAGGAATCAAACTGGCGACCTCCTAGTGCATGGGTCGACGCTCAACCACTGAGCCACACTGGCTTGGCTAAATACATAGATCTTAATAATTAATTTGTTGAACTGATCTTTCTCATGAAATTCACATAATAATGTCCTTGCCTACAGATGGAATCAAAGATGGACACAAAATGAACTCACACGTAGCCAAGCTACAAGAGTTATGGAAAACTCCTCAAATTCAAACAATTCACATCCCTAAACCAATGACAGATGTGTCCTTTCTAAAGGTATGCCAACTACCTACCAATACTTTATTTAAATACCAATACTCTTTGTATTCCAAGCTGAACTTTTTATTGAAGATAAGCTACTTAGAGCAGTGATTTTCAACCTTTTTCATCTCAAGGTACATATAAACTAATTACTAAAATTCTGCAGCACACCGAAAAATATATTTTTTGCTGATCTAACAAAAAAAAATAGGTATAATTTTGATTCAGTCACATCAGAAGGCTAATGTTGTATATAGGCTGTTGTCGTTTTTTAATTTAACAGTTTAAGGGAAAAGAGGTCAAGCCCTGGTGGGGTAGCTTAGTTCGTTAGAGCATGGTCCCAATACTCCAAGGTTGTGGGTTGGATCCCGGGTCAAGAATCAACCAATGAATGCATAAATAAGTGGAACAATAAATTGATGTCTCCTTCCCCGCCCCTCAAATCAATAAATAAAAATTAAAAAAAAAAGAAAAGAGGTCAGTGCCCCCAACTAAATAGTCAGATATTGCACATTTTAAAAATTCTTGCGGCACAGTGGTTGAAAATTGCTGACTTAGAGGGTAAGGTAGAAGACAAAGTACACCCAGCTTATTATATATATCTGTTGGGTAAACCCATGAATGAATGCAAGAATTTTATCATTATAGATTCCTTATCATAAGAGTGCTTTCAGGACTTTATGACCTTCAGATCTGAGTTAACTTTAAGCAGGAAACTCAACACCCTATATTACCCATTAAAGATAATAGCTGGCCCTGGCCGGTTTGGCTCAGCGGTTAGAGCATCAGCCCGTGGACCAATGAGTCGTGGGTTCGACTCCAGTCAAGGGCACATACCTCGGTTGCACTTCATCCCCGGCCCTGGTTGGGGTCATGTGGGAGGCAACCAGTCAATGTGTCCCTTTCATATCAATGTTCCTCTCTCTCCCTCTCTCCCTCCCTCCCGCTCTATCTGAAGCTAAATGGAAAAATGTCTTCGGATGAGGATAAAACAAGAAAAGAAAAGATGATAAAAGATCATAGCTGCCAGAGTATGCTCTCCAGAGCAATGCAAATTAGGCTTACTAAAGAAAACTGGTAGTTTCCTGGCCAACCTTTTGAATTTCCTCTGGATTATTACCCATCCAGTTCAGTAAATCCTGTGTGTGTGTATATACATATACATGCATATGTAATGGACTCTTGCATTTTAGGTAAGTGTTAACTTCTAAACATCAGCAAATACAGTAAAAATCTTAGTCTAAATTACTTATATCAGAGACCATCAGACTATCGCTCAGTCTGTCCCACACAGTTGCTTTTCTGGTCCTAGAAAAGACTTTATTTAGTTAAACTAAGTAGAGTAATTGGGTTTCTTTTAGATACTACATCGCATGGAAAGCGAGATGCCCACACTCACTGAGAAGCATGTGGGAATTAAGACTCCCTGACTGGCCCTGGCCAGTTTGACTCAGCGGTAGAGCATTGGCGGCAGACCAATGAGTCACGGGGTTTAATTCTGGCCAAGGGCACATACCTCAATTGTGGTTTGTCCCTGGCCCTGGTTGGGGTGGTGCGGGAGGCAACCAATCAATGTGTCCCTCTCACGATGTGTCCCTCTCACGTCGATGTTTCTCTCTCCCTCCCTCCCACTCTAAACATAAATAGAAAAATATCCTCGGGTGAGAAAAAAAAAGATACAATATAATATACAGATGATGTATTATAGAATTGTACACCTCAAACCTATGTAATTTTATTAACCAATGTCACCCCAATAAATCCAATAAAAAAGAAAAAAAAGCACCATAGCCAAAGACTCACTGACAACAGCGAGTTCATATTTTCCTTATTCTTCTAGGGCAGTGGTCCTCAAACCTCACTGGGCATCTGACTCACACGTGGAAATGGCAAGCAGAGTCACTTGTACTATTTAAATGGCCATTTCTGTCTCTCTGTTCTTGGCCAAATTAACATAGTTGAATTTGCTTAAGTAGTGTACAGATGGTACTACTCTGCTGAACATTCATCCTTTCAGATAAAAGCCTATAAATCTTGTTCTGTCTTTTAGCATCCAGACCTCACCATAGGCCAGAAGCATAATCTGCGCAGCATTGCTAAGATCTGTAATGTGAACTATCTGAGGGTGTTAATGAAGAGGCAGTACATGCATATGATCCAGCACAACTCTCACAAGCCAGGCAGGTGCACCTGCAATTAGTTTAACTAGTTGCCACAAGAATAGAGAAGGTCCTCTAACTGAGGCAATTTGTGTGACAGGTGTCCTCGTTCATCACAGGAGCCACCTCAGTTCTTGTCACTCCCAGAAGCAGCATTACCCCTGCACTACATGGCGACACCAACTGGAGAGAGGGGACTCGGGGTCTTCCAACACCACAGCTGCATCTGCACCTGAAATGATCATACAGCACTCCCTTTGGCGACCAGTGAGAAACAAAGGAGGGTCTGTTTCTTATTGTTTAAATGGAGGAAAATGCACCCCAATTTTATCTGAAGGGTGGCTAAATGATGTTAAAGCTTGTGTTCCCTAATACATTCATTTTGCTAAGTTCAGAATAGGTTGGACAAAAAGCACAAAAAGATGTTATGGTCTCTTTACTGAGCTGACTGAGATATGCCAGATCTTTTATTTTATTTTATTTATTTATTTATTTGGTATGTGCCCCTAGCGAGGGCCGAACCCAGGAATCTCTGGTCCACAGGTCAACGCTCCAACTGCTGAGCCAAACCGGCCAGGGCTATGTCACATCTTTTAGAACTTATTTTGTGGAATTGTCAACATTTCTTGATCAGCTAGAGCTATGGAAGACTACCGTTTTCAGTGATTGCCACTCAAATTCAAAATAATACAAACACTTGCAAAAGGAGAAGCATATGGTTGCTTCTGCATAGGGGGGGAATACTATAAACAAAAAAGGAGGTTAAAAAGAGATAAGAATCTGCCTGGCCAGTGTGGCTCAGTGGTTGAGCGTCAACCCATGCACCAAAAGGTCGCCGGTTTGATTCCTGGTCAGCCCACAAGCCCAGGTTGTGGGCCAAATCCCCAGTGAGGGGCATGCAGGAGGTGGCCAATAGATATTCTCTCTCATCAATGTTTCTATCTCCTCTTCTCCCTTCCTCTCTCTCAAAAAATCAATAAAGAAAAAAACTGTTTCTTAAAGAGAAAAGAATCTTAATTATTCAACATGCACAATAGTTAGCTTTGCATTTCAGGAGAATTCAGGGGCTGAAAGGGTCTCTTTGGTGATGCTGGCAACTTAATAAAGAGAATTCGTGTAGTCTTCCGTATGCATTAGGCAGCTGTTCACTTTGCTGGTTCCAATTAAGATGCTTCTTTTTCTTATAGTTTAAAAACTGGATATGCGTCTAAAACAAGATGTAAGTCGCTGAAGATTTTTAGAAAACCAGGCAGACTGTTCATGCAATCAGGTAAATGTGGAATTTAAAAAACTATGCATTTTTAAAGATCTTATGCTTAAATAATATCAAACCCAACTAGATTAATTTCTATTACAGAAGACATTGAAAACTTAGAATGTGATTTGCTTTTATTGCTCCAAATAAAACTAAACATGAAATATAGTTCTTGTTTTATTTAAAAGAAACACTGCTCAAAGGAGTAACATTCAAGGTATTTCTAATTCTAAATAAAAATGTAATAACAAGGTCAGAGACTTAATAGAGCATTTATCAGGCCCCAGATTCACAAAAACATGACTTTTTAAAGCCATAGCACTTATTTTATGAGTTAGTGCCATTTTTGGATAGACAGCATAGTTTGTATAGCATCAAGTAGTTCATAAAGGGCTAATATCGCCGATACCATTTTAATATTATTCAATAAACTAGTGGGAAGCAGCCAAGCAGGTGACAGAGCAACTCAGACAAACCCAGACTTGGTAAGAATTGGCATAAAGGATCCTTCTACCACAATTGTAGAATAGCACAAAATGGCCCTGGCTGGTTTGGCTCAGTGGTTGAGTGTTGGCCAACGGATAAACGGGTCTTGGTTTCCATTCCTGGTCAAGGGCATGTACCTGGTTTGCAGGTTCGATTCCCGGCCTCAGTTGGGGTCAGTGGGAGGCAACCAATCGATGTGTCTCTCTCACATTGATGTTCTTTCTCTCTCCCTCCCTCCCTCCCTTCCACTCTATCTAAAAAAATCAATGTAATAATATCCTCGGGTGAGGATTAACCAAAAAAACAAAAAAGCAAAGGGAAAATAGGACTTAGTACCAGGGAATTTGCTATACAATAACTCAGCTAGAATACAGAACTGGGTATCTTATTTTAAAAAGTAAGAGATTTGGCCCTGGCTAGTTTGCTCAGTGGTTAGAGTGTGGGCCTGAGGACCAAAGAGTCTCGAGTTAGATTCTGGTCAAGGGCATGTACCTTGGTTGCGGTTCGATCCCTGGCCCTGGTTGGGGCCGTGCAGGAGGCAACCAATCGATGTGAGCACATTGATCTTTCTCCCCCTCACTCCCACTCTATCTGAGAATCAATGGAAAAATATCCTTGAATGAGGATTAAAAAAAAAAGTAAGATATTTGGGGGAAGGGGGAATTAGTAAGTTTTGAAATTTGCAGGCAATCTGTGTTTGCTAAGTTTATTTAAGGTAGGTCATTTTGAAGGTTGTTCTTATATACAATCTCAATTTTCAGGATGAGATACAATTTTGTTTCCAAAACAGTTATTATAAACTTTTTATTTTTTGTCTTCAGTTTCTACAAATGATTTTGAATCATTCATGAATGAAGAAAAAAAGGAAGATTTACTAAGTAAGTGTATGCAATCAATGTCAATTGAAGAACAGGGAGAACATCTGATGTTAACTTGACAATCTCGTCTTGTGTATTAATGATGTGCCAAAGGTAGGGGTAGGGGTTGTGAATTGTGTCCTCTACATTTAGGATAGTATTGTTATTCACCATTAAATGATTAAATAATTTTGGTTTGTTCAGAAACTTTTACAACAATGTAATTTATGTGATGTAGTTCCATGTTCCAATGATATTTGTGGAATAAAGTCTGTGTGTAAATATATGCTTTTATTTCTAGATTCAATTAAAATTTTTGTCACTTAAAATTGAATTTTTTTCTTTAAATGTGACAAATGCATTGTATAATTTTCTCTCTGTTTACAAGTCCTAAAACAACAATATTCGAATATCCAAGTATTTTCTTGATTGGGCTGAGGAAAATTCTTGAAATATCCTAATACGGCATAGCATTTACTAAAGATAACACTCTGGTTTGCAAAGATCATGCTTAATAAATATTTGCTGTTTGAATACAACTTAAAAATGGAAATGTCAATTTGCCCTATTTTATTAAAATTGCCACACAAACATTTGGCCTCTCAAAATAGATTAAGTTGGGAGTAGTTGTACTAATGAGAGTCGAACTCTTTACATTACATATTGACTCTAGTGTGCTTCCCTTCTAAACATGAGTGTTTAAATTTTTTTTTTTTGGCCCAGCTGGTGTGGCTCAGTGGATTGAGCATCTTCTCATGGACTTGAGAGGTTCCAGTTTGATTCCTGGTCAGGGCACATGCCCAAGTTGTGGGCTTGATCCCCGGTAGGGAGCATGCAAGAGGCAGCTGATTGATGTTTCTCTCTCACATCAATGTTTTTCTCTCTCTCTCTAAAAAAATCAATATAAGCATATAAAATATTATTGTAAAAATTTTTTTTGTTAAAACTTGAAAAATAGGAATAGGGCAATTTAAAGCACCGGTTTGAAGACTGCTGATTTAACATGTCCATGTGGCATACTATTTAGAAAATGGAATCTGAATCCAACAGTATGACCCAGGATGTTCTAAGAAATGAGAGAGCTCTGAAGGTCATCTCATCCATCTCATCTCTTTAATCCTTGTCCACAGTTTCATTAGGTCTCATTTTGGTTTTTAAAAATTAAAACAGAGTTTATCAAGAAAGTATAAATGAAAGGCAACTTTATTACTGGAGAAGAGAAAAATGTATACAAGAAAGTCCAGATTCTTTTTCCTCATGCACTACTTTTATAATAAAGTTCTAAATATCAACTTTGAAGATATTTACAAGGATAAGTTTTTCTTAACGTGACCATTTACTGTGTGGTGGACATTTTTTCATAGAAATCATATATTTAAACTAAATAAATTCTTATAGTTTACAAGAAGCTTAGACATTGTATTAACAGAAGATGATGTATTTTACTGAAAAATATTATAAAAGTGATACAATGTTGTGGCTCTTAAATGTTTAATTACTTGAACAGGGGAATTAAAAAACAAAACAAAACAAAAAAAACAGAACAAAACAAAACAAAACAACAGAAAAACCAAGACAGGCCTGGCTTTAAGATTTTTTGTATTCGATTCGTTCTACTTTCACGTCATCTCCAATTAGCTGATACACATAAGTGACAACTGTAGAAGCCTGGATATCCATCAACACAAATGAAGGAATAATGTTTCTGGAAGAAAATATAAGTAATGTCAGTGTTTTATACTAAAAAGCCACAGCACTATAAATTTCAATTTAAGATGACAATTTGGATTCAAGGAGATATCTGGTTGTTATATATAAAAAGAATAATCACCAAAAGAAGATGGCCAGAAGGGCAATAATTATTTAATGGTTGCATCTCTTTTATGAAATGTCACACATGCAATTACTAAATTCATAAAACCCCCAAATTCCCAAATTACATACTACTCACGTTTCCAAGGCATTATACGCTCCAGTGGCAGAACCTGGGTTAATGTAGAATTTATTTTCATGCTCAAATGCTTCAAATTTGTGTGTGTGTCCTGAGATAAGAATGTCCACATCAAACTGCCTCTGCAACAGGGCTAAGCTGGCCATATCTCCCCATGGAATGACTTGATGTCCATGGATCAAACCAATTTTGAATTGCCCAACAGTCACAACTTTCTGTTCTGGATAATTCAGATTCTAAAATAAGAAATAGACATACAATGTTTACAAAAACAACCTGCTTTTAAATATTCTATCTCATGTGGGTGTTTTGCTCCACAACAAACACATTTATTAAATTTTTATTTCTTCTCAGTCTCTAAGGCTGCAGCTATGCTCAAAACATAACTGGAATTTCTCATGCAATCTCTTATTGTGTTTATTTTTATAGATATGGATTCTTTTGGGCATGTTGTAGAAAATAACAATTCCTCCAAATGTGTGTTTCTTCTAAGAATCCTAGGCATATGACCTGTAAGCTAGGGTGTGTTTAAATTATACCCCAGGCTTTAATAGTTATATTAGATGGCTTAAAATAATTATAGTTAAAACACATAGTACTTAGTATGAACCAGGCACTATTCTAAGGGCTTTATAAATATCAACCTACCTAACACTTAAAATCCTAAGAGAAAGATTCTATTCTGACCTCCATTTTATGGATGAATAATACTGAGGCATAGAGAGGTTAAAATAACCTGTTAAAAATCACAGGTTAGCCCTGGCCGGTTTGGCTCAGCGTTTAAAGAGTGTCGGCCTGCAGACCAGAGAGTCCCGGGTTCGGTTCCTGCTAAGGACACGTACCTCAGTTGCGGGCCGTGTAGGTGGCAACCGGTCAATGTGTCTCTCTCACATCAATGTTTTTCTCTCTCTCTCTTCTTCCCTCTTTCCCTCCCACTCTATTGAAGATAAATGCAAAAATGTCCTCAAGTGAAAATAAAAAACAAAAAACATCACAGGTTAGCCCAATTGGTGTGGCTCAGTGGTTGAGCGTTGACCCATGCACCAAGAGGTTGCTGGTTCGATTCCTGGTCAGGGCACATGCCCTGGTTGTAGGTCTGATCCCCAAAGGGGGCATGCAGGAGGCGGCCAATCGATATTCTCTCTCATTGATGTTTCTATCTCCCTCTCACTCTCCCTTCCTCTCTCTCTCTCTCTAAAAATGAATAAAGAAAAAAAATCATAGGTTAGTAAGTGGTTGAGCCAAGATCCAAACCACGGTAGCATGGCTCCAGGGTCTGTGAATTTGTAGCAAAAAATTTGAATTCTTGCTATGAAACTATCTTTACCATAACACAAACAGAACTCCTAATGTTTTTAACAAATCAAACCTATATTCTAATTATTAACTAGAAGTTTGCCCCTTTCCTTCTCATCTCCACGTGTTTCACCTCTATGCCCCCTCTAATTTACCCAAACTATTTTTAAATTCCACTTTAAAAAAAAGAAGAGAACACTATGGTCATTCAGTTTGGTATAAAGGAGCCCCATTAAAAAGCACCAATGAAGTTAAATAATTTATGAAAAAGCTTATATTCCCAGAAATACAAAATAAAACTTTCATACTAGAATCAGATTTATCATTTTAAATCATACAATGCTAGTATAGGCAGGGGTCTTAAAAATCATCTATTCCAATCTATTTGCATAAGTGAAAACTAAGGCCAGAAAGAGGATGTATTTGCCTAAAATCTTATCGTTAATTAATGGGCTAAGTTGGAACCCCAGAACTTATTTTTTTCTTTTAAAACGTCAGGTTTATTGAAGTATAATTTACATACAGTAAAACTGTCCCTTTTAGTGTACAATTCAAGGGGTTTTGACAAATGTGGTCATGTAAGCACCACCACAACCAAGATATAGAACAGTTTTATGATCTCCTCAAACCTTCCTCGTGCTCCTTTATAGTTAAGCCATGGTAGGCTTTCAATTAGTGATGTGATCCTCACTTAAAAAGGATCACTCTCGCCCTGGCTGGTGTGCTCAATGGTTAAGAGCATTGGTGCATGACCCATGAACCAAAGGGTCAAATGTTCGATTCCCGGTCAAGGCAAGTGCGGGAGGCAACCAACTGATGTGTGTCTCTCATGTGGATGTTTCTCTCTCCCCTCTCCCCACTTCCCTTCAAGCACTCTCTCTAAAAATCAACAGAAAAAGTATCCTCAGGTTGTAGAACAAACTTTGGAGGGAGGAAGGGTGGAATCAGGAAGTTGGAGTATAGGACAATAATACGATCCTTGGAGCACAGTGGTAGAAGTGGTGGTGGTAAGTTCATAATAAAAACTTTGTAAGTTAAATGACAGTACTACAAAAAAATAGTGACAAAACCACTTTTATTCCGTATCAATTTAGTTAGAACAAATATTTGTTTATTGAGCAATCTAAAATCAGAGACGCCCTGGCCGGTTTGGCGCAGCGGTTGGAGCATTGGCCTGCGGTACTTAGAGACCCGGGTTCGGTTCCTGCTAAGGGCACGTACCTCGGTTGCAGTTTGTCCCCGGCCCTGGTTGGTCATGCGGGTGGCAGCCACTCGATGTGTCCCTTCACATCGATGTTTCTCTCTCTCTCTCTTCCTGTCTCTCCCTCCCGCTCTATCTGAACAAAAAATGGAAAAATGTCCTCGAGTGAGGATAAAAAAAAAAAAAAAAAGCTAAAATCAGTGATTTGGGGGGGAGGGGGGGATAGGGAGGAGGGTGTCTGGAGGGAAAAAGGAGAAACATCTGTAACAAAATTAATAAAAAAATAAAATAAAATCAGTGATTTTCAAACAGGAAGGGGTATGTGTAGTAATTTTATATTTGGGGGAAAAAAGACCTTAACAATTGAGAAACTGGTCTAAAGGATAAAACTTTTTATGTGAGAATCAATAAAAGGAAATAACTGGGAAGGAGAAATACATCACCTCATCGAAGTCTCCTCTCACAATGTGAACATCACCGGCCAGAGTCTTGAGATAGTCATAACTCTCTTTGGTGCAAAGATTTCCAGTGCAGAGAATATGCTGAATCTTTCCCGGTACCAGCAGTTTTTTGAACTTAGCTGGCAAACTGTTGCACCGGTGTGGGATGTGCAGGTCTCCTAATACCAACACCAACTTTAAAGTGTCAAGGTGAGACAAGGTGTAATGTTAAACATGATGTCAAAATAAATACTTTCCTCTAATAACTCCCCTTTTAAATTAAACTAATCAGAGATTCTAGAACACAAAAGAGCAGAAGTTATTCATACAGTTCCTTATCATGACCATTTAAACAAACACACATCACACATATGGTAACGTGCTCTGCTTTAAATAAATATTTTTAAAATTTAATCACAATGCCCTGGCC